CTCTACTCAACTTCTCATTAAAAAGCAATTTCCCTTCCTTTTCTTCTTCAGGGTGAAAACCAAATGTGTTCACTTTAGAATATGAGCTAATAAATCTTCAAAGTAGGTTTGTGTAGTTTGTTAAATGTACTTTTGTCAGCCAGCCAAAAGGATTATGCTGAACTTCAGTTCTGTACTGGGAAGGAATAGAAAAAGCCACAGGCTCCAGCTAATTTTAGGTGTGAAATTAAATTTTTTAAAAAGCTGAAGCGGAGAAGCAGGTCTTTCAGATTCCACTTCTTGGCATCCGAACTCGAAAAAGTTCATTGTTGGTCTGTAGTTTCTTGGCGTGTAAGTGGTAGGTCTGTCAGGACAATGATTTTGTGAATATCTTGCTTAGTTTTGAAAACAATTTAGTAAGTCCTAGGAACTTAGGTACTTATCAAGTAACCCATGATGAGTTTTTGTGGCTTGATTGGGTCTAAAGGAAAGTGAAGCCTACAACATTACAAAAAATGCTTTTGTAGTATTTGTTACACAAGAAACAATAGAAACTGTTACCATCTACAAAGTGCAGGAAATGAAAAGGAGGATAATGCTACCGAATGTGCGTGCTGATGTATGCAGAGCTGTATATAGTGCTGCTCAGTCCTCTTCTTCTGTCTATTCCACTACAAACCAAGGGAATTACTGGGGTTTTTTTCTCATTTATAAAACCCTGTGTTACTTGAGTAATGTATGGCTATCAGAAATATTTTTGTATTTTTCAATGTAGTTTAAGCAATTAGAACTCCAGAAGCGAATACAACATTGCCCAGTACGAATGATCACACTGAGGAAGATAACAGGAGTACTGCCACAGACTGGGGATTCTACACCTAATCCTAGCCGCTGACACGCGCCCTATGGCGGCTTATGCAATCACACACAAATGGCCCCCGTGCCCACGCATGGAGTCGTGGTGTTCCCATGCACACGGACGCCCTCATGTTTCCAGGATGAATTAGTTCTTGGTCAGTTCAGTCTGGTTAGAAGTGCACAGTACATTTCATGGAATTGCTTGGATAAATGTGCTGGAGGCATCATGTTTCCAAATGCCCGTTGTCAGTGATGCAGCCTCCACAGAAAAATCCTCCATTTGTTGTCTCAGCTGGAAACGTGATTCTTTGGGGGAGAGAGTATGGGGAAAGTTACATTTTATGCTCCCCTTCTCTCCCCCCAGAAAACAGGTTAGCTTATACTGCATTCATGCGGATGTCTCCAAAAGGAATTTCTGTGGCTGTTTCTGGAGTAATGCTTTTCAGAACACGCTGTTAGGAAGATATCAGTATTAGAAATTGATTAATTTTAGAGGTAATACATAACATCACACTCATTTGAAAACAAATTTATAACAAAAATATGACTTTAGTTTGAGCTACACCTCTTGAACTGTGGCACAAGGAAGTTTCAGGCTTCTGTTAGCACTATGAAGATGGAAGGGGCTATAGAACTGCACAGCATTATTTTTTAATTATTTGTAACATAGAATTTGAATCAAAGTTTGACAGATGTCGTATTAATGGCTTAGGACTTACTTTGCAGTTTACTTGGATAGCCTGAGCCAACTGAACATACTCTTTTTCAACTGGTAGTTACGTGAACCTAACAAGAAATCTGAAAAATGTCATCACAGGCTGCCACAGATTTATGGCAGGGAAATCTTAAGTGTGGGAGAGAAAAAGAAATTTATTCTTACAGATATACCCAAGCGAACCAATCTTCCACTGGCTCAGTCACGTGATACTGTGTTGTGTGATTTCTAGGAAAAGCCTCCAGTTCACCAGAGCTTAAAAAAATTACTTGATTTAATATTTTATGTGAATATGTCAATGGCCTCAGTAAGACCTGGGGAGATTAGTGAATCACTCAGAATGAGCAGAAGACAATTAGCTGGCTAGGAACAGAATGGCAATAATCCTCCAAGTCTCAGGTCACCAGACCCTAGAAAAAGCTACATGTCATATTTATGGGCATCACCTCCTTTCTAACAGTCCGATAGAAGCAACAGAGTGCCATGGATACCTCCTTAAGTGTTCCTGGAGTGGTGACCAACCGATAAACCATGTAGATTGGAATGAAGATGATAGAAGAGGTTCCTATGCAATAACCCACTACTGTGGTCCAGTAGGGATAATTATAATCAAAAAGCCGTAACTCAGGAGGGTTGGACAGAAAGCTGCAAGTGATGAACTGAAAAAGAAAACGAGAACGTCTGAATACATGTATTTTGATGGCACACACTTACTTGAGAGAACTTTGTGTCCCAGTGCAGCATTGAACTAAAAAAAATGAATAGGACTCAAGAAGGGTTAAACATACATTGGCACTGAAAAAATCCTAAATTGTATTAGTATGGATTTAAAAAAAAACAAAACACAACAAACAAAAAAAACAAAACCAAAGAACCCTCAAAACCACTTCTGAATATCCAGACTTTACTTCAGGAAGGTTAAAAGAGCTCAGG